TTTGAATGTATATGTCACTCAAATATGAACGGAACGGGGACGTGTCATTGGCAATGACTTGTTGTAATTGTCTATGACCCCTGAACACTCCTTTAAATGCCCAGTTTTATCAATAAATTTTATCTAATTTCTTTCCTCACTCACAAGATCCAAATTAGACTAAGCCTAAAATAAGACACTTTTACCAATATAAAATAATTGCATGGCTCAAATCTGATTGTTACACCAACTCTATGTATCTAACAAATATAAGTGTACAGTGATGAATAGGACTGAATTCAGAATCAATAAATGCCAATGTGAAATGAACACGTTTTGGATATTTATAAAACTCGACTGTAAAATTTGTATTAGTAGCTGCGACATCTATTACAATGATATTTTGGTTCTGATACCGATTATACTGTAGCAGTGACAAAATATGAACTTTATTGTAAAAAGGTTAATCACACTGCTGTTGCAGTCTCTATAGTATAGTAACTTCACAGATGTACTTCTCTACCCATGCCACATGTATTTCGCATTGTATTCCTGTTTAAAAGATTATTATTCAACCAGCTTAAATCGGGTATTACAAGTGTAACAGGTGGTCTGTTTTCAATATAATGCAAAATGTATACGTGTAAATTTGATCGATAATAATAACGTTCACACCTTCTCTAAAGTCACAATTTTGTAAAGTTAAAATCCGTATCATTTCATGAAAATTACATATTGAACAATTAATTATATAAATCCTTGAGCTAATCCATGCCTGTCAGTGTATCTTTATTACTGTCTAATAGAATTGCTTTATTCATTTTTTCTCTATCATAGGAAAAAAATTAAAAAAATAAAAACACTGATTGATTTGATCTTTATTTCTTTTTTAGGTGTCTCTGGAAAGAGTCAGATCTTGTTTGCCTTGGTATTCACAACACGTTATTTGGATCTGTTCACCAACTTCATTTCCATGTACAACTCTGCCATGAAACTGATCTACCTAGTCTGTTCTTATGCCACAGTCTTTTTAATGTATTTCAAATTCAAAGCCACTTATGATAGTAACCATGACACTTTCCGTATGGAGTTTCTTGTTGTTCCTGTTGGTGGATTGGCATTCCTTGTCAATCATGACTTTACCCCATTAGAGGTAAGTTACCGTTCTACACAACATGCAATTAGTCAATCCACTATCATGTAGGAGTAGGTTACCTACTGAATGTCATTTCTCTATAAGCATCATAGGCTTAAGTTCAGTATCATAGGTACAAAACATGAGCTACTGTTGTACCGGTAACTTGCAAACACTCACAGGAAAATACAAATACAACTAAGAGATTTCTTCTAATTTAGGTGCCATATGAGAGTGAAAAATCTGCATTATGATTAAAATAGCAGTTTCAAACACTTAACATTTAACACTAAAAAATTTTCAGTATTTCTATGTAATTACACCAAAAATACTTAATACTTAAATTTTATTGTAATATGCATTGGTCTTAATTGTGCCAGTAATGAAAAGTATACATCAAGATTTTAAATGAAAACAAAAACAAATGCATTTACAAGTAGGCACATCCTGGTCACTGTTTCACAGGCTAATACATTTGCTTTTGGAGGTGTTACACATTTTTCTTTTGCATTTTTTACTGTTATCTCTCATGTGGTTACCTTCGTGTATACTTTGCAGTATAATTATAGTATGGTGACTGTTAAATGGCTTTCCTGTCTTTAAGAATGCCAATAATTAGCAACAATTTCTAGCAGCAAAAATTAAGTGGTTTACAATATTTATTACTCTTATTTCAGATTCTGTGGACTTTCTCTATCTACCTGGAAGCTGTTGCTATCTTACCACAGTTATTCATGATCAGCAAAACTGGGGAGGCAGAGACCATTACCAGTCATTACCTGTTTGCACTTGGCTCCTATCGTGCTCTATACATAGTTAATTGGGTGTTCCGTTTTTATACCGAGGGATTCTTTGATCTTATTGCTATTGTTGCTGGATGTGTACAAACTATTCTTTACTGTGACTTTTTCTATTTGTATATTACAAAAGGTAAGTGTCTTAAAGTGCTATAAATCTTGCATCTAAATTGCAATTCTTTGTGTATAATTCGGTCGCGTGTGTAGTTTCTGGGAATGTTTACTATTGTTAATGAATTGTCTTTTGTTACGGGCAAAATATTACACTATTACTACTAATATGTTGTATTTGTTTATAAAATTTTTAGTGCAGCTAACTATGTGATATGCTAGGCTTGGCAACTTTTCCAACAAGTTTTACCAGAATCATGACTTTAAATCACATTTACAGCCACAGTGGCAATGTTGTACCCAAAAACTCATGGGAGTTTGACTCTCTCGATGTTAATCTTTTTGTCATCTGTCTTATATTTTTCCAATTTTTCATTACTTTGCAGTTCTTAAAGGTAAACAGCTCACATTACCCGCATAACTTAACCAAACTTTGAAGACAATCTGCAGTATATAACAGTGATCATAATCTTCACCGGGAAAACTTAGATGGTTGGTTTTACAAGTTACTGGGTGTATCACAGCTAGTGGTTGGCAGTCTTTATGTGCATGTGAGCTTACCACTTGTAAAATGTGGTAGTCAATTTCTTACTGGTGTGACAAGTGTAATGGGCAGTAAGATGTGTAAGATCTTATTGTGTTTGTATGGTGAAACTCGGATAAAGTGGCCCTCTTGCTGCTCTAACTTAATATTGAACATACAAAGGCTGCCATTCAACCATTGTGATTTACAATTCAACTCTTTCATTTAATTAAGTAACTTGAAAAACATTTATTCCCCCCCATCTCTTCAATGCTGAATATTACTTATACTAAATCTGCAATTGCTTTGAAGCATGCTGTGCATTGAAACTTTAAAAACCCTCTATATTGTACTGTAGATTTCTTTGGCACTATGCTTTGACCAAAGTACTGTACTCGAAGGTTTTTGAGAAAAAAAAAGTTGTTTTATAGTATGAATATATTTTTCTTTTGGTGAGACACAACAAATTTTAATGAAATGAAGTTTAAATTTAACTGTATGCTTACTTTGTAATTCATTGATTTTGTCAACGATTAAAAAAGAAAAGTTCATGTACTTTATAGAGTTTAAGAATGAAGAGCATTTTGATTCTGGTGGTTTTAAATTCACCAGATCATGTACTGTAAACAAAAGCTTGTTAGAATTGTTTGGGATGACTTTCACAAAGACAATTCACAAAGACAAAACTTCACAAGTCAATGTTGGTGACCTCGGTGAAATTAAATTTCACAATTCTTGACTTTTGAAATTTTGTCTCACACAATTAAAGTGGTTCACAGTATTTTTGTCTTGGTGACATTACAGTAGTTGATTGGATTTCTCTGACTTGTTAGCTTATTTTTCTTATCATTGGAAAATGTTGCAGAACTGCCCCACCTACCTTTTAAATAGGGTACTTGGTATATTTGAGACTGATGAATTGTAATATGATTAAGTGTTCTCATTCTGGTAACATTACATCAGTCCCTCTATGCGACTGTGAAGAAATTTTTGTAAAACGCCACTTTACTCTGCAATTATATGGTGAAACCCATGCAAATTTTTAATACAAACCACATGTACTACTATTACAATTAAAAGACTGTAGTGGATTTAGTTTTTCTCGTACCTATATATTTATTATAGTTGAATGGTAAAACATTTTTCTTTTTGTTTTTTAACAGATTTTTCATTTTCCAAGGTTTTAGTTGGATATCTCTGATTTTGTAACTATAAAAAGCAATGCGCAATATATCATTTCCATTTTCATTCAGTTGCAAGGCTTGTTTTGGCTTTGTATATTGCCCCAAGTCTATACAATATGCCATATTAGCTTTATTAGTAGCTTACATGTATGTGAATGACAAATGAGTCAAGATAAATATTTTTAGGATCCAGCATATTTTCGCTTGAAATTAATTTTTGCTAAAGGAATGATTCTGTGATATCCAACAAATATACCTTTTTTCCTATATTTTACATTAAACTCATCAAAAATAAATGAAAATAAATTCCATACAAAACGCGCAAAAAGTCTTTTCAGTGAAAATTAATTCCAGGAGAAATAAAGTATTTCACCATACATTAAATGCAATTTTTGGTTTATGTGCGCTTGTATTGGAGATGCTTTTCTAATGAAGCAAATTGATAACATTTTATAAAAATGTATTGGAGATGCTTTTCTAATGAAGCAAATTGATAACATTTTATAAAAATGTTTAGTGTATCAGTGTAATTGTTGAAATGCTGATCTCTGCTTGCTCTGTACACCTTGCAAGGTTAAATCAAAATTTTCAAATATCGCAACAAAAATGAAATTTAGAGTGCGGATTTGTTATTTTCTTTATATACATGCAAATTATTACAAGCTGTAGATCTGACTGATCTTCTTCAAACAATTTCATGCCATGCCATGCCATACCATACCATACTTTGCTTTTGTAATATGTTATCATAAATGTCGATAAATAAAAAAACTGGTCATGTTATTTTATCTATATTCTGTATATACCACATTTGGTTATCTTGCCCTGATCTGCACGGTATCAATTTGAAACATTTGGGTCATAAAATTCTCCAGGTATATCAACTGTTTTATAGCTAAATGGTATTCATATTAAGTGACTGTTTGGTATATTGAATAGTTTTAAAATAGATTTGCACAACCAAGCTTGTCATTCTGTTATCTCCTGACCCCCCCCCCCCAAAGTACATTTGGAAGTTTCAATTGAATGCCATGTAAAGCCTCCAGCTTAAAAGCTGCAGCATTCGTAATTTCTATCAATTAAATGTGGGATGAAATATTGCAGAAAAATAAAACTGATATTGTCAATCATTATTACCAGTGATAAGCAAATTGGGAAAACACCCACTTTTCATAAACATATTCGAGGAACATAGATTTGTCACGCATGCCATGTTATTGAATAGTGGTGCTTTCATATTGACAGTGAGCTGAAGATGAAATGCGGTACAAGTTTAATATTTTGCTTTTCATTGGAAAGCTGCATTTGATTATTTTATTCCTGTCTATTCTGAGTATTTGTTCTACTTCAAATAGGTGTTGGTATAATTCAATGTTACAAGCTTGCCTGTAAGTGCCAGGAGAAAAAACAATAAATATAATTTGATAACTATATTAATTTGTTTAAAGAATAATTTCATGTTGTTTTAGTGGATTTGATATGTATAGGATATAAAGCACGACCACAATTAAGGACTTTGGGATATACAGTCTGAGCCAGCGTAACATTCCAAGGAGGGAGGACTTTATACTTCATAAGAATCCAAATCAACTATAGTTAACTATTTTGCACAAAATATTTGAGAAAGCTGACCATGCTAGTATTAAAATATGGAATAGGTTCTTGAAAATTAAAAATTTGGAGTTACCAGTCTTTATTAATACAATTTGCATACTGAAATTAAGGCCATTCAGCAATATCTGCATTATGAACAATATTGGCTTCTACTTTTTAAGTTGCACGTACGTCAGTTTGCATTTTGAATGAATACAAGTGTTATGGTTTACAAATCATTTACGTGATAAAACACTTCATGTAGAAAAAAAAGACCTTGAAATAGAGTACAAAGTTCCCTATGAATATATAATTTTCTCGCAATGTTGCCATACTAAATTGTAACATCTTCAGAAAATTGTTTTTTCCACACCTGTATTCAATGATCGAACATTCTAAATTACACGACTTTGATCTTGAACAATAGGCAAAACCATTAAAAATGGCCTGAATGTTTGCAAAATTTCTCAATAAACTTGTCATTTTCGGTTTTCGAACTTCGCTGGCAGCTGAAAGCATAGGAGCTCGTGAACTCGCTTCTTTTAACGGCATAAACTTCTATATTACTTCTCAGACAACTATTATTTCAGTAGGTCTATATTTTAAAATTGGGCGAGCATGCCCGGACCCCCCAGTAAGTCCCGTCTTCGGCGCAAGATTGGTGAGCAGATCTTGCCGACCAATGCAAAATTTGGTGCCGCCGCCTCTGTTATTGAAAAAATTATGACAAGCAAACCACAAATTGTGTAACAAAATGTCACAAATGACGAAAACTGGCATAAAGTAGAAAGACTTGTAGCTACTGATTATCGAGGCACAGTTTCCAACGTTATATGTCAAGTGCGTCAGCTTGGCAATTACTCTATACAACTGTATTGCATCATTGTAAAAAAATAACATTAGACAAATAGCAAACAGTAGCATTTCACCACGTGCCATTTGTATTACTTTTTAACTTTTTAAATGTAACTTAATTTGTTTAAACATCACAAAATAATGTTATGAATTACCGGCTGTCCCTGAGTTTTAACAATTGGTTGATTAAGGTAAACAACATTCCCCGAACTACCGAATACAACAACAGGTTTGTGAGTTTTTTTTGTTTTTTTGTCTGACTACTGATTACATTAATCTCAGAAATGGAACTGTTAATAGCTCTAACAACGTGTGCATTAGTTCAATTAAATAAACAGTGTTACTAAACATTGTCGTTTCTATGTTTTGACATAGCCATCAGAACGAGGTAGTTTTCTAGTTTGAATTGTTTTGACTGCAATAAACCCCCAATTTTGCATTGCACTCAAGGATTGAACTATTTTTGTTTATTCAATGTTATCCATACATTTCATAAGAACATTATTTATTTTGATAGATATGTGACGAGAAAAGTTAACACAAAATACATATAGTGATCTTTGCTTTTACGAAAGAAACATGTATTTATCAAAACAGGCTAGCCTTGCAAGAACTATTGTTTGAGATGCTTTCCACACGGAGCCTGTTATATGCATATAAACATCAGACAAAAAATACTAATACAAAAGTATATGAACTTGTAGTAAATAGAGAAAAGATATAGGAACATCAACAGAACACTAACCAACTATACTTTAAGTACAGACGCCTAATTCTATCAAATCTGAATTAGTTTTTAATACCGTGGGTAGTTGTTCAAAGTAAAAACTACAGAAAAGGCGAATATGGGTTGTCAATTTTAACCAGTTTTAAGTACATGTATGTTTCATCATGGATGCTAGTACGTCCATGATGATAGAGCAATAATTAGATATCGCTATGGATTCTACAAAGTATAAAAATTAACATGTAATAACAAAAACAAACATTACAACAACAATCCATTACATCTTCCAAAGCAACTAAAGACTCTGACTTCACCAGATATTAATCAGATTGGTCTTTCCGCAACTAAACTGAAAACAAAGTCACATGGTCCCAGGGCAACCGAGGGCGTTTTCGTGAGCAGAGTATCAACCAACACACGACCAGCAAAATGGCAGCCGAAGTGGAAATAAATACCGACTTCGAAGAAGAAGTTACATATTTTATCAACACTGAAGTTGGCGACGATGTAAAATCTCTCGGAAAAGTTAACGAGATACGTCAGCAGCTGATGGAACAAAAAAAGTCATTGGAAGAACGAGTAAGTACCACAAATTGACGATTTAATGTTTGTTCGTCTGCAGCACACTGCCTGCAGTCTGTTCATTTTGCCACGATCAAGTGTGTTCTCGTAAACATTTAAACGAATGTGAAAACATCGTACGGTTCGATTCGCGTAGGATTCGCGTACAATTGACGTACGATTGAAATACCTATAATTTACACAAATGTTTATACAATGTATATAGAAATTTTGTGTAGTAAGATAGGGGTCAACCAATTTTCTTTTGGGGAAAATCATGGTTATATATAGTCCCACAGTCTCGCTCACATCGGAAGTCACGTTTGCTCAAAAAAGTATAAAAAAAACCATGATATATAG